AAAAAAAAAAAAAGTTGGGAGTCAAATTCCATCCAATAACCGAGATTCCCTCCTCCCTATTCACCCTTATTTCCCTGTTATCTTTTATATTCAATCGGTTTGGTGATGTATTTTTTTTTTCCCCAACCTTTCCATTCCAAGCCAAATGAATCAATAAGATTCCCAAACGGTGACAATCAAATTTCCTACAAATTAAAACAAACTCGATGAATCGTCTCGCTTGTACAAAAAAATCAAATCAAATCAAATCAGATGTCGCGGATCTAACCGGAGCCACTTTCAGAATGATTCTCCTCTCGGCAAAAACAACTGCAGGGAAGAGCAGAGGTGTTTTCTCGAAAATTTCCACTTGCCAAAAAATAAAATATTCTTTCCACTGGAAAAAAAAAAAAATATTCTTTCCAGTAAAACCAGAGGGACAGAGTCCAGAGGGCTTCGCTTTATCTTCGAGTGGGGATGGAGGAACGGAAAAATACACTTTTTCGGTGTGAATTCAACAGCTGACCCTCCTGAAGCTCCAGGATTTGGAGCAACCATCTCCTTCCCTTGTAGGAACGAAGCTCTTGAGATGTCACAGCTCTACCCAAAATGTACCGGAATCGGGGTGTCGGAAGAGAGGGAAGTAAGAGGGAAAAAGCAGTTTTCCAGCCCCACTTTCACCCAGACACGAGAAATTCCCCGGCCGGGGACAGAGCGACCAACCCTCCGGCTGTGACCGCTCCGCTCCGCGGACAACCCACCTGGCCAGCTTGACGTTGTCACTGTCGTCCTTCCCCCACTGCCACTCCTTCCCGGGGTCCACGGCGAAGTGCACGGGGAGCAGCTTGTGCTCCGAGTCCGTCAGGGGGATCACGGCTGCAGGAGGGACAGGAAAACCGCTCGGAACGCCCGACGGGACAAACCTCCCGCGGCGGCAGCCAAGCCCGGAGCGCCCACCGCGACCGACGGCGGCGCTGGTGGCAACCGGTGTCACGTCAAATCGCACCGCGACTGCCAAGGCATCATCCTGGCGTGGTCTGGGTTGGAAGGGACCTTCAAAGATCACGTAGACCCCCCCTTTGCTGTGGGCAGGGACACCTTCCACCAGATCAGGTTGCTCAACGCCCCGTCCGTAGCTTCACAGAAGGATTTGGGTTGGAAGGGACCTTCAAAGACCACCTAGTCCAACCCCCTGCCACCAGCAGGGACACCTTCCACCATATCAGGTTGCTCAACGCCCCGCCCGTAGCTTCACAGAAGGATTTGGGTTGGAAGGGACCTTCAAAGACCATCTAGTCCAACCCCCTTCCACCAGATCAGGTTGCTCAACGCCCCGTCCAACCTGACCTTGAAGGTCTCCAGGGATGAGGCATCTACCACCTCTCCAGGCAACTTGTTCCAGCTTGTCTCACCACCCTCAGCATCAAAACTTTCCTCCTAGATCTAGACATTAACCACCTACCTTGATCTTTTGTGGGTTCCTTCTGCTCCATGGATACCAGGGCAGAAAAATGGGCTTGGTCGTAAGCCAGTACCAACGGAGACCGGTGACATTTGTTGGCTGGGACTTCCAAGGGAAGATAGATCCCTCCAAAGGGAATAGGGGCAAAGGCTGGAAAGAAATCAGGTGGTTGGATTTTTGTCACAGGTTAAAGAGTTAAGAGCTGTTTATACCGAAACCGCCCCGGAACGAGCTGTTCGCTTCGTTCGAGGTTTCACCTGTAATTATCTGCCAGCTCGAGGGACACCAAAAAAAAAAACCAAACCCCAACCAAACCCACAACCCAAAATAGACATTTATGTCACACCAGGAAGAACGCAGCTGCAAAACGAACCTTTTCTATAAAAAAACCACCAACCCTCCTTCACTCCTCCACAAGACAATTTAAATTTGAACGGTAATTGATGAATCTTTTCTGCTGGGAAAGGAAGTCTGCTGGTGGAAAATACGACAAAGTAGGGAACGGAAATTCCCATCTCGACGCACGTGTTTGAGGGCGAAAAAAGTTGAAAATTCAAAAAAAACATGAAAAAAAACCCCAAAAATCAAACATCACGTGGATGCTCTTTGAAATAGCGAAGGATCGGACTGTCCATGGGAATCACCCGCAGCCGTTCCGCGCTCCGCTCCGAGAATCCATCTTCGTTGAGCAAGAAAGACCCCGCGAGCACGCGGCGGAGCGGGAACGCGCGGCGTGAGCATGCCGGATTCCCTGGAATTTCTTTAAAAAGAGACCGGGATCCTCACCTTCCCCCCCCGAGTCCCGCAGCA